GGTTTGGCTACAGATATGCTTGCATTAAGCCCATGAAATGATAAAAAAAAATGGGTAAGATAACATGTTAACAGACAAAAACAAGGCACTAATCAAGTGGGTAAGTCGGTGTGAGTATAATGACATAGTGTTTGTGAAAAGAGCAAGAAATCTGCAGTAAAGCGATCAATAAACATTTTATGGTGCTCTCATTTTGTGGGAGAAACATTTATCATTTGAGAATCCCATGAATACATCAAACAGAGGACACAGACAGAACTGAACACGGATGAAAGTCACTAAGTGAGCGGTCCACACTAGCTCGCAGGTATCTCACAAAGCATGAAATGAATCAAAGTTGTTTATCTGCTTCGTATTATTGAGCAAATTATAGATAATTGCTCATTTGATGTATTCTGAGTAAAGCGTTTATATGATGCATATGCTGTGGATATTTTCCACATAAACTTCAAGATGTAACAAACAGAGAAAAAAAAAGGGATGTAATTGATTATAAGTTAATTGTGCAAAGGTCTCCCTGATGGGAACCATCTGTCAAAACAAGCTGTACATTCACTAATTCTAATCATAATTAATTAAATGGCTAACAAATTACATACATCATAGTTAGTACAGGGGGAAAACTACCACAGGAACTGTTATGAAACAAATTATCTTTAACAATGAAAGAAAATTACATCACATAACTAAATATTATACTCGTTTCCGCAAGCCATATTTCTTAATGAATTCTCTAATTAATTTAATTCACACAATGTGCATAATTTGGAGCTGAAAATGTCAGTGGGTCAGACTTAACCATATTGTTGCTGGCTGTCTATTTCAACGAGTGCCATATTAGCACAACATGACCTCTATGTAAATTACACAGACCAACTGTTGTAATTTTAATTCCAGGGTCTAATTAACATGTTCTAAAGATATCATACGAGTATGTTTAACTCATTTTACACATGCCAGTGTCAATGTAAGATTTCTATTTGCCTTCATTTTGTGTAATCCTTTTGATGGGAAACATCATGGCAGCTTACGTTACAGATGTCAATTATGACAAAAAGGTTATTATTTTTTTCATGCTTCTCGTATTAAATGCTGAACTTTACAGTCAGGGTGACTCATCACTCTCAAAACTCAAGACTTCTGGATCTGTGAGCATTTACAGTCACTATGACTGAGCTCATTCAGAGATCACTTACATGGACAAAAGTGTTTCTAATAGAGGTGGACATTTTAGCTTCCTCTTTTCTTACACTCGTCATGTTGAGGTCAATGGGCACAATCAAAGAGAGTAATACGGATTAGCTCAAAAGATGTCACAGAGGAGTTAGAGTGAAATGATAATGGCCCGCAGATCAATACGGTATGATTAGTGTTGAATTGAACTTGTGATTATTTTCAAGTGGTTCTGAAAATATATATATATTTTCTCTGAAGGACCGTTTGCTTTAGAGTGCAGGGACAGCATTTATCAAATGATATCAATGCACTGAAAGCTGTTGAACACATCAAATATAAATAATCCACTGCAGCTAATCTTTATTATCAGTTAATCTTATTTTCTTGATTGATCAAATAATCTGTTGGTCTAATGTAAAAAAAATAGTGAAAAACCTGATAAATTACTTGTTTAAAAACCCCAGAAAATTCAATTTACTGTAATATATGACCAAGAAAAGGAGCAAATCCTCAACTTTGATGAAAAAAATTTGGCATTTTTGCTTGGATTCTTTTTTAAACGATTGAAAAATGACTGCTGACTAATTAATTAATCAGCTAATCGTTTAAACTCTGCAGTGTATTGCCTGAGCAGCACAGACACCTGTATATTTGCACATTGTTTCACTTCACTTAACGTCACCATGAATGAAATCCTGTGTAATTATTAGGCTGGTGATCGACTCTCACTGCTACATGCTCTGTCACCTCTGCCTTGCTAGTGTTTTTTTCCCGACCCTGTGCCGATTCAGTTTAGAGAAAAATACAATCAAATTTACCAAATGATGCCATCATGAGTGTGAATGCAGAAATGGATGAATAAATGAATAAATTGCCCAGTGGATGGAACATATAAGCTAACACATGCATTGCAGGGCTCGGGGGCTATCCTGAGGCCAATCATTTAGCTAACACACTAATGAAAGCGTGTGTAGTGTGGCTAAGGGCAGCCACCATGGGAGGTACCACTCCCCTCCCTCCTCATGTTGGGGACTGTTAATAGGCTGGATGGAGCCAATGGGACTCCCAGGAGAGGGCTGCTGATGAAGAGGAAAACCTGTCGTCGCCTTCACTAATCACTGCCTAATGGCTGCAGTAACACAGGTTTTACAAATGCGATTGTGTGCCTGTACACGTGTGTGTGTGTGTGTGTGTGTGAGAAATACTGAAGTTTTAGGATATCGGTCACTAAAATGTTCATTGGGGAATATATTGTGTTTTGATGCTTGGTGGTGTGAATATTTTGCTACCAAAGATGTAAGTGTAGAGTTATTGTCTTTTTCCAGCCATTGTCAGCTTCACCAAACCAGAAAATATGAATGTTATGTTATGTTTTTTTGTTTGTTTGTTTATTTGTTTTGTTTTATGTCATTAAAGGTGCAATCTATCCAAATCTAAACAAAAACTCAATTAAGCCGATTGACAGAACGCCAATAGGTGACCATTCTCTGGTTGCAGCTTCTCTAATGTAAGCGTTTGCTGCTCTTTCTCTGCTTTATATCATCGTACTGAAAATGCTGGTCAGGAAAATCAGGACATTTAAAGACATCACTTTGGGCTTTAGGGAAACTGTGAGGATTTTCCCCAATTTTTAGACGATTTTCTACACTAAACAATCGATTAACCACAAAAATGATCAGCAGATTAAACAATGAGGAAAATCATTTTTAGTTGCAGACTCAAAATAAATATTTTACAATAGACCTTTTTCACAGCAGCCATTTTGACATGAAATAGTCGGGTAAACACAGGTGTTACCAATTATACTAATTAGGGTTCTTCTCCATTCAGGTCAAACAGAGTCAGGGTGCTGCTGTTGTTCATGTTGGCTCAGTTTAAAGGCTCTGCTACACTAAATGCAACAGAACCTTAATTATTGGTAACACCTGAGTTTACCCCACTATTTCATGTCAAAATGGCTGCTGTGAAAAACAGTAGTAAAACAGACCTAATTCCCATTATGGCCAGATTTTTCATCAGATTTTCACCTGTAATTTATTTTATTTAAGCTGCGTTTATATATAATAAAGGAAGTTAATATAAAGACATTACTATGGGATGATAACTTGAGATGTCAAATGTCACCATTGACATCCTCCAGACTAAATGATTAGGATGTTAGTTGCAGCTACAATTCAGCCATTTATTAAAACTTTAAAGTGATTTTATGTAGTTTTAACTTTATTAAAAACTCCCCTCCATCGAGTATGACATGTTTGGCAACATCACACATACACTTCAGAGAAATCATGGTGGTAAATCAAGTTATGTCACATTTTAAGGTGTGTGCGGTGTGCCAGGTTTAGCTTGCTTACGTCAGTGAAACCGACGTGCAACGTCAGTTCGACATTATGATGTCACCTGTAAAGCAAACAATAAACAAAGTTGATTGAAATGTGAAGTTCAAAACTTTCCAATCACTGATGAACTGCATACGCAGCTTAGTTTGCAGTTTGGCGTCTATATTTTGGCACGACTTTACTTTTTTTTTTTTTTTGCCAACGTAAACGTGAAGTTAATAAAAACTGACTGATTGAGGAAATCGCTTCCGGTTAAGACCTAAAAAGTAAAAGTTCTTATTGAAGATAATTTGTTGGAATAATTGAGCTTCACACCTTGGACAAAAGCTGTTAAAAAAACAAAAACAAACTTGATATCAAAAAATCAGCAGATTAGTTCAGTTGCCATGGAAATGTGGTTGTCGAACTTTCCATCATTACAAGCACCAGATTCTGTATTTGACCCCCAGAGAATGAGACTCTGATATCTTTCTTTATTCTGATTGGTTGTTTTCATTCAGGCCCGGTGGATTCTTTCAAATGATGCCATTAGGAGCCAGAAGACCCTAATTTGTTTTTACTGATTATCTGTCTCATGTCAGGATCAAGTGTGAACCTGTCGTACCCTTTTGAAGCCTCAAGTTTGGCGTTTTGGACGTCGCCATGACAGATAGATGGAGCCACTGCGAGTTGAGCTGCTCTCATTGGCTGCGCAGTTTCGACTCGTACGTAGCAGGAAACAATGGTGGCCTGCCTGGTCACACACAATCTCGTACAGCTTAACAGTACAATAAAATATGTTTCTGAAACATTTTTAGGTGAGAAATCGTAACGCAGTAACAGAATCTTGCTTCAGCCTAGTTTGAAAGTTTGATCTAAGTTTCGTGCGCTGTGCTGGACAGACTCACTGAGAGTGACTTTTCAATCATAGGGTAGCCACTCCCAAAAGCATACTTATGAGCAGCTTTATCGTCTATTTTACTCTAAATTGGACCATAATTTACTAAATGAACATCATTATGTATAGAAGAAGACTTGAAACTAGTGATTGAGACCATAAACTCGTTAGGAAACTGTTTACTGAGTTCATAAATGAAGTGAGAGGTCGGGTCATTTCTCCATTAGAGTGAATGTTATCGGTGTATTATTTCCTTTACATATAATGCAGGGTTTAAGACACTTATGAAGCTCTGTCCATTATATACACTGTCAATGATCAGGGCACAGTGAAAATTTCAGCAAATATAAACAAAAAGTTATTTTCATAAAAAACTCCCCTACAGCAGCTTTAATGGAGCTGGTGGTGAGACTGTTTTTCCAACTGTTATAATCATTTACCACGAGGCCCTCCCTTTATAAGTGGGGAAATAATAAAATGAAACATCTGTATCATTCCACAATCTGCCTGCAACATAATCAGTTCAACCTTTTATTTTGAAGGGACTTCCTGCACCGTCGTCTGGTAGCTCCGCAGAGGCCGACACTTCCCAGTCAACCTGTCCAATAGGAGTTCACCGACGAGCTGGAAGTTGGTTGCTACGTCCTCATACAAAAACTGTGTGTCGGTCATTGCTGTGGCGTGGAAACCGACAACATTAAGTAGCTTAAGTTTTTTGTTTTAAGTCACGAAGAAGTTGATGATTTTTTTTGCGATACAAGACGTTAACTAACTAACTTAATGTCCTCCGACGGTCAGAGAGGACCGGGACCGATACGGTATGGGAAAATAACTTTATATGCATTTATGTAACCTACACCTTTGTGCTGGGTTATGGCTGTCAGGTCTCTGCTGTGTTTTTCTGACTGACAACACCGACTTCTAGCATGCCACGCAGGCAGCTAACTTCTCCAAAACTTTGCCTGCAACTCAGGAGTGGCCCGCACAGCATGATACTTTGACGTTTATCTTACATTTTCACGTAGATTTCCTTCCCCCCCTCCCTGTTTTAAATCAATACAATGATGAAGGTTAGGAGATACTTGAGGGGCAGTGGGAGGGTGCTCGCATTTGTGTTCATCGCCTCTGTCATTTGGCTGCTGTTTGACATGGCTGCCCTCCGGTTATCGATAAACGACGTGAACAGTCAGCTGCTGAAGGAGCGAGTGGTGAGAGAGAGGGAGCTTTACAGGCAGCAGTCCAGGGTGACACAGCTGATGAAGAGGGGGTTCAAGCACCCAGTTCAGAAGGTGGACCTGGCTGTCACACATGCTGGGAAAGAACCACTCAGTTCAAGCATTAAACTAGCCCAAGTGTACAGGCAGGGAGGCAGGAAACAGGGCGAGATGTTAGGGGATAAAAAGCTCTTCCAGCACCAAGGAGGTCGTCTTCCCAGGACTGCCCGCCCTAAATATGAACATAAAGAAGGTGACAAGAAAAGAGATGTCACACCAAAGCAGGGTGATCCCGCAAAGAAGAAAGCCGTAGACTTGGATCTGAATGGGACAAAGTTGGAGAAAGGTAGAGCGATAGATGACTCTAATAAGGTGATGTTATCTGTAGTGGTGTCTCAAATATCCCAAGTGGCAGCTGGTGTTCAGGAAAACAAACTTGTTCCGCTACCGACCTCAAAGAAGGGATCCATTAATGGTGGAGATGTTGTGCAAAACGCTCCGGGCAAAAGCGACTCAAAGACACACGAAAAAGTCCAGGGTGAATCTAAGATCAGGAGCGGGATAAAAGAGAGCCAGCTTCAGGCCGAGGAGGCACACCCTGTTAAAACAACATCCAAACCATCTAACAAGGATGTGAAGGCGAATAAGGAAACAGAGGAGAAGCACATTGGGCCGGCTGAAACGGAAACCTCCAAGGATAACTCCACTGCTGTCAGAAAACCAGGTGTCCACAAAGTGCTTTCTCTGGATGCGACTCAAGTTCCCAGAGATGCCAACGCGGTGGGCCAGTTTGGTCAGGCGGCACTTGTTGCCAGTAATGAAGACTTAGAGGTGAAGAAGAGATGGGACGAGGGGCATTTTAATGTCTACCTGAGTGACCAGATCCCAGTGGACCGCGCCATCCCGGACACCAGGCCCGAGATGTGAGTCGTCTAACGCACATTTTCTCTCTCTCCAACTGCTCTGAGTGCCGAGCTGAATTGTCTTTTTGTCTCTGCTGTGTTTTTTTTTTTCTTTTCCAGGTGTGCACAGAATCTGGTCCACGACGACTTGCCTTCCACCAGTGTGATCTTCTGTTTCGTGGACGAAGTGTGGTCCACGCTGCTCCGCTCTGTGCACAGTGTGCTCAACAGATCTCCACCGCACCTCCTCAAAGAAATCATTCTGGTGGATGATTTCAGCACCAAAGGTAACTCCGTCCCCAACGCTTTTACAGGTAGAGCGTGAACAGTGCAGCGGTCTGCATCAACTAAAGCACCAGAAAACTGAGCTGGTATCCTTGTTTATAGTCTAAAATGTGTAGACAAACTAATATACAGTAATGTCTAATAATTTGACCTCACTAATTTGACTATATTCAGTTGTTTTGTCTTTTTTTTAATGAAAATGTTGGTGTTTTTGTGTGATTTTGTTATCCTATAAACACTGTGTGACTTAAGACCCCTCTTTGACACTTCTATCATGTTTATTTTCTGTATTAGAATCCAGTCTTTATCACTAGTGTCTGGCCAAAACATGGCTTTCTTTTTTAGCACAAACCAATATCTGAGAGTAACAATGATATATATCAAGTGTTATTATAATAATCAATATTATTTCTTTATAAATACATAAGTGTATTACTTTAATAACTCACACAGCATGGTGCAGAAGAGTGTGAGCTTAAAAGCAGGATTGCTAGAATTAAAACACATCACACAACTCTGACATGTTTTTTTAAATTGCATACATTTATAACAGTAACACATGTTTTTAAGATCTGTCCCTGAAATGTGGTTATTGAAGAGATGTGACAAAAAGATGAGTGGAGACAGTCGATAATAAACTTGACAGTGCTCTCTGGTGGACAACCTACATAATGGTGACACTGTGTCTAAATTTGGGTCCTGGTAGTTATTTAAATCATATGTAATATTTTATCAGATAATCTGAAGGAACCGCTGGATGAGTACATGGCCCAGTTTCCCAAAGTGCGAATCATTCGTCTGAAGGAGCGTCAGGGCCTGATCAGAGCCAGGCTGGCTGGAGCGGCTGTAGCCAAAGGTAATCACTACTTTGATCAATACTTTTTGTCATAAATGCTTTTTATTGTTTAGTTTATATATACATACGTACATTGCGGAGGGAATATGTCCCACATAAAAGAAACATGAAGACAGCAAAGAGCAATCACAGAAATGTGTCAAATCATAGGGTCAGACTTTTTTATAATGAATGTTACAATGAAAACACAAGTGTGTCTTTGTCTTAGGTGATATAGGAATACTGTTACTGTATTTACGTGACAACCCCATGATGACTTATTTACTTAGTTACTAAGTTTTATAATTGTGTCGGTTGTGCAAGATGTCAACACATTTGACATGTGGGTACAAGCAGAGCTCGTCTAGACATTGTCTGGTACAAGATTGTAACTGCATGGGCTACTGTATCTAATCCATGTGGCATGGTTTGAAGCATAGTTCATAAAGACGTACACAATCAAGTGTAGAAAATATAAATAAAGATAAAAATAGAGACAATAAGGAGGAGCCACTATATATATATAT